ATGCTTCGAGTGCCTTTGAAGCTGATATAAGTGACATCAGCCGCAGCAGCAGCACTGAATCTCTGATTCCTGACAAACGTAAGCTCCTCAAAGCGGACGCTGTTACACAGCCACTGTGAAAGCGTGTGAGTGAGAGATCACGCACCAAACGAACACGGAAACATTTGCATCATTTCAATGTGTTTGAATTCGTACTTCTTATTCTTTTGTTGAATCATGTGAAATGCTTATTCTTTTAGTTTTAAATCTAAGGAGTAAAACACTCAGGGGCATGCGGTTATAGGTAAATAATCAGTTATGGAATGGTGTGATGTGGCCTCCGTGAAGCTGAGTTACTGTCACCCCAAAGTTGATGAATTTCCTATAACAGCACCTCCTGAAGTGTTTTATTCCTCTTATTCCACAGCAATTCATCAGAGATTACATTTTTCTCAATTTATTAATGTTTTTATGAGAACGAAATGTCCCCAAAGTGATGGAAGTATATGATAATGTTGGCTAGTTACTGTGTCCGGATTTGTGGTGGGGCTTGTGTGTGTGTGTGTGTGTGTGTGTGTAGTGAAAATGAGAAATTGTAATACTGGAAAGAAACATTTGAATTTCATTTCTACTGCAGTTAACTAGAACTGATGGCAGTTACGAAGTGTCAATGTGATGGAAAGTTTTTAGCCTGTAGCGAACAAGCTACATTAGCAAGCTAACCCAACTGAATGCTAGCTAGCTAGCTAAATTACCTAGCTAGCTAGCTGTGTCACAAAAAAAGTGCTTTTAAATATCTGGATGGGAAAACAGCAACAATCTGCATTTTTTCTAGACATTTCTTACAAATCGCAAGTCCTCTAATTATACATTTTCTCATACATACAGCACACCTAACATGATTGGCTAAAATTCTTATGAATACCTCTGAAAATGATATACTCATTGTTTGTTTGTTTGTTTGTTTACTTGTTTAGCCTGTGCCATTGCGACGATGCTTTCTTGCCTCGCCAGTGTGTGTCACAGCATGAAGTCTGGAATCATGTGCCTTTATTTTCTATTTCTCAGCAGGTATGCTGTGTGTGTGTGTGTGTGTGTGTGTGTGTGTGAGTGTGTGTGTGAGATATTGATATTAATAATTGCCATTTCATTATGATTTGTGATGAAAATAATATAGCTGAAAATAAGGAACCTGAGAAAATGTGGTGGCTATGTAGCCCCTCCTCCTGCAAGAAACGCAGGCTTAATGACGAGGTTTAGCGAAAAAGGAAAGCTTTAAACAGCTAGTTAGCTAGTAAGTCTGATCCATTGCGTATTTATTCAACGTGAAAATACTGCGTGAAGTTACTACATTATTAATAATATTCCTACATTCTAAAGGCTACGTTGAAGCTCTGCTACAGGATCACTTTTCTCTTGTAGTTAGCTAGGACAAACTAATAACGATTTATTAGGAAAAAATGCCCCCATTTATTAAAAAAACTATCACAGTCACAGTTTAGACAAGTTTAGTTTAGTGAAGTCCAAGTCTAGACACAAGAATGTCATAAAAATTGTGAGTGGGGTTTGGAGGATTGGACGTCACTTAACTGTAGTCCTTAGCTCTGCTTTTGACTTGTTGTTATTCGTTAAAATGTGTATTAGAAAGTATGTTAATCTTCATGACTCACTGTAGTGTGTGTGTATGTGCGCGCGTGTGTGTGTGAGCGTGCGTGCGTGTGTGTGTGTGCGTGTGTACTCTGCATGACCGTGCTGTTCCTTCATCTCTCCTCAGACGCACTGTGTGTACGAAGACGATCGCCGTTCTGCTCCTGCTGCTTTTCGGTGAGTGTGTACGTATATTCATCAACTGTTTGTCTTCCATCAGATACCAACTTTATAAACACTTGATTGTCACTGCTGGGTTTAGAGCAGTCCGCTATCAGCAATATCCAGTGGTGCTAAAGAGAGGAACACAGTGTTATGTACTGTAGCTCACTTAGTGTGTTGGTGTTAATGCAAGGTGTGTGTGTGTTGTTCTTGTTGTTCAGGTGTGTGGTTCGGGTACAGACAAACACAGATGGAGGTAAGAGTTTAGTGAAGAGTTTAGTGTTTAGGGCGTAGGGCTTAGTTTTTAGGGTGTAGGGTTGAATGTTTAGGGTGTAGTGTTTAGTGTTTGGGGCATAGGGTTTCGTGTTTAGGGTGTAGG